ATGCAACATTTTTTTTTCCCTATTGAATTAAGTTCTCCTCCAGTAATGTCATATGGATTTATGTTGGTTGGGGAATAAATTAATATTGGACAGAAGGTATATATTTCCTATTTTGAAATAAAAATTGAAATAGGTGATTATTTACTTGATTGTCTCTGATTATCTTCACTTTGACCCACCCCAATATTCTCTGCTTTGGATTATGCTTTTTTCTTTTAAATAGTATTTCATTTTTTCCAATTACATGTAAAGATAATTTTTAACATTCATTTTTTTATAAAATTTTAAGTTCCAAATTTTCTCCCTTCCCATTCCCTAAGATAGTAAGCAATTTGATATAGGTTGTTTATGTGCAATCATATAAAACATATTCCATATTAATCATTTTGTAAAGGAAGAAACAGAACGAAAGGGAAAAAATTTTTAAAAATAAAGAAAGCAAAAATAGTATGCTTCGCTCTGCATTTAGACTCCATCAGTTCTTTCTCTGGATATGACTAGCATTTTCCATTATAACTCTTTTGGACTTGTCTTGGATCATTGTATTCCACATTGGTAGTCTGATGACTCAGTGATTGTACCCTTCTGAATACTCCTTCCAAACATATAGATTGCTAAGAAGAGCTAAGTCAATCACAATTAGTCATCGCACAATGTTGCTGTTACTGTGTACAATGTTCTCCTGGTTCTGCTCACTTCACTTTGCATCAGTTCATAAAAGTCTTTCCAGGTTTTTCTGAAATCGGCCTGTTCATCATTTCTTTTTGCACAATAGTATTACATTACATTTATACATTACAACTTGTTCAGCCTTTCCTCAGTTGATGGGCATTCTTTCAATTTCCAATTCTTTGCCACCACAAAAAGAGCTGCTATAAATATTTTTGTACATGTAGGTCTTTTTCCCTTTTTTATGATCTCTTTGGGATACAGACCTGGTAGCGGTATTGCTGGATCAAAGGGTACATGCATAGTTTGATTGCCCTTTAAATATAGTTCCAAATTGCTCTCCAAAATGGTTGGATCAGTTTACAACTCCACTAACAGTGCATTTGTGTCCCAGTTTTCCTAAATGCTCTCCAATATTTCATTTTCCTTTTCTGTCATATTAGCTAATCTGTTAGGTTTGAGGTGATACTTTCAAGTTGTTTTAATTTCGCACTATGCTTTTGAAAACATTATGTCAATACTTCAAGGATCTATATTTCATCAGTATAGGTACATCCTCCGCCAATGCAGATTGTACATCCTCTCCAACTTCATAGATGATCTTCAGGGATTTCTGTGGTCAAAATATTCACCACCCTGCAGTCTAACTAATGCTTATCCTCTACAAAATTAGATATGTGTGTCCTTGGCCAAAAAGAGGATATAGTTCACCTGAAGGAGCTTACTCAAAGTCTTTCTAGCTTTGTGAGATTTGCCCAAACTTACAATCCACTGGTATAATCAAGAACCCAGTGTCACTTCCACAGCCTGATAAGGTATCGGAGTAAGGTGTTAGTAATGTAACCATTAAATATTTGGGAATAGTTTTAGTCCAGACCTATTATTTCATGTGTGCAAGGAACTTCCAAGTAAATAAACACCCTCTTCCAAAGCAGATCTGTACTTGGTCTGCAATTTGCAGTCTTAGAGAGTTGACTGGGGCATTGAGAGGTTAAGTGATTTGCCCAGGATCACACAGCCAGTATGTGTCAGAGGTGATACTGAACCTAGGTCTTCTTGACTCTGAGGTTAGCTCTGCATTCACCATATCACATTGCCTCTCTTGAAAGTAATACCAGTTTAGTATATGAATTTTATTTTTAATCTTTTATAGAGTGTCCTTTATAAGTTTGTTGAGATTCGAGAGTGATACTGCCCTTCAGTGTGTTATAACTCCAGTGATTAATATATTATTTGTTTTGTTTGTAACTTAGATGGCAACATAAATTCAGTCATGTGAGTTTTATTATACCATTCTATATTTGACTTTGTTGTGACTTAATGTGATATAATGCATGCCACCCAAACATTGTTCACTGGCACTATTCCCCATAATTCACAATATCCATCTAAATTTAAGTTGTCACATCACTGCCTAATTTCATCAAGAATATTCTAACCTCCAAATCTGTATGTCTTAAGGTTGTATTCAACACATGATGGAGTGTTAATATAGCTCTGAAATAATAGGTAACTAAAGTTCAAGTTTTAGAATGCAAAAGAAAGTTTCAGTGTGATGTCTTTGTCTCATTCTTGACTTCTCCCTTACTATTTTTTGCCCTTCATATCTAATCCTTTGCTTGTCAATTTCACCTTTGTCACATCTCTCTCATACTTCTCCCTTCTCTCTTCCAACGTTGCCACCACTCCAGTGTAAACCCTCATCATTTCATTACTGTGATAGCTTGCTGATGTGTCTGCCTGTTCCAGGTCTCTCCCCACTCTAGTTTATCCACCATTCAGCTACTAAAGTACAGATATTACCCCACCACCTCCCTCCCATTCAATAAGCTCCAATGGTTATCACTTACAGGATTAAATTTAAAATCCTTTGTTTGATTTTCAAAGCCCTTCATATCCTAGCCTCCTCCTACCTTCCAGTCTTCTTGTACCTTACTCCCCACCACGTATTTTTTGATCTAGTGACATTGCTTTCCTTGCTGGTCTCCAAACACATCACTTCATTACCAATTCTGGGCATTCCCACTAGCTGTCCCCCCATGCCTGAAATGTTCTCCCTCCTCATCTCTGTCTCCTGGCTTCCCTGGCTTTCTTCCAGTTCCAACTTAAATCCCACTTTCTACAGGAACCCTTTCCCAATCTCCCTTAATTCTAGTGTATTAATTATCACCAATGCATCTTGTATATAGCTTGTTTGTGCATAGCTGTTTACTTGTTGGCTTCTCTATTACACTGTGAGGTCCTTGTAGACAGGAACTATTTTTTGCCTTTCTTTGTATCTCCAGTGTTTAGTCCAGCATTTGGCACATAGCAGGTATTTAACAAATGCTCATTGACTGACTCATTATTAAAACCATCATCTGAGAGTCTGTTGTGAATATATCACTGATAAAGACTGACTGTCAGCAGGACAGAACAAATAAAAAATTAATGAATTATCCTTGGTTTGTGTTTCAATTCATCAAAAATCAATAAGCATTTATTAAGCATATACTAAGTGTCAGACATTGTGCTAAGCATTGGAGATACAAACACAAATAAAAAGAAAGACAGATTCTGCCCTCAAGGAGTTTAAAATGTAACATGGGAAAATCTCTTCTATGTACAAAGCACTGTACTAGGCACTAGGATTCCGAAACTGAAAAACAAAAGAAGCACCATGCGGTAGCATAGGGGACTACACTTGGAGAAAGACCCATCTTTGAACTCTTCTTCAGACATTTAATACTCTTGTCACTCTGGGATAATTACTTAATCACCTTATGCATTTCATTTCATTTCTTCCTTCCTTCCTTCCTTCCTTCCTTCCTTCCTTC